TTTTCTCCACACCCTCTCCAGCATTTATTGTTTCTAGATTTTTTGATGATAGCCATTCTGACTGGTGAGCACTGACTTCTAATTTAACCACAACATGTGATGTAACGCTGGGGCAAACGCACAAAAATGTCAACAGCTTAATCTTCATCTACCATGGAAGGAAGTCAATTGAAAATGTCTAAAATTGAAAGAAATAGAAATATAATTTTATTCACAAAAAATGTAATTAAGCCCAAGGGAAACAGCTAGAAGAAGGGTTCAACATAATTGCCTTTAGGAGAAGGGCTAAGGAGGATTAGGGAGTGAGTGTGGAAGGGATTGCCATTTTTCATTCTAAACCCTTTAGTATAGTATGGGATTTTTTAAAAACCTTTTTCATTGTGAAGTCTAACAAATACAGAAAATCAAAATCAAAACAACAATCTTCAGGTTAATCAGTTATTACAAACATTTGTACAACCACCATCCAGGTCAATTTGCCACCCCATGAGCCTTCCCAGAACCCCTGGCAATCACAACTGCCTATCACTGCTTAACGATAACCACTATCCTGGCTTTTACAGTTAATTACTTTGTAGCTATTCTTTATAGAGTTTTACCAGCTTCATATGTGTCTCTAAATCTATGGTTTAATTCTAAATGTTTTTGAACTTTGTATCTGTGGAATCAGAGAATATGTATAAAACATACACATACCATTTTCCTCACTTTGGCTGATGAGAAGTTTTTAATAGCCTTTAAAGACAATTGCCCAGTTTCCTCATTCTCCTACTCTCCCTTACTCATCATAAATATTCAAGTAATAACAATAGCTAAACCCTTATTATGTGCTGGGTTTCTGTTTTAGGAATATTAACTCATTTAATCATCAAAACAAAATCCTAAGACAAGTTTTACTGTCATCCTCATTTTACAGAGGGGGAAAACAGGCACAAAGAGGTTGAGTTAACTTGCCCAAGATCACACAGCTAGTAGGTGACTGGGCAGGATTCAAACCATGGACTTTGTGCTCTGACCTACCTTCTCATGGGAGAATAGCTATCAATAAAGGAAAAACTAAAAGTACAGGATATGATAAAATGTTATTACTGTTAACTATGAAGGTTAAAATAAAAACTACATGAGAATGATTTTAGTGCCTCATCCTTCTCCCAAACAATCAGCTACATCAAAGGTAAACTACTTAAAGTGCCTGAAGAGCCGTGTGTGCACAGAATAAGTACCCCAACACACGCTGTAACTGTCCTGAAGGGCTTACATGGGCCAAAAGACAATGAGAGTATCTGATCAAATGTCAAAATTCTGTCTTAGTTCTGTAATGTTATTTAAGGAAAAATTCTGAGCCTTGAGTAACTAAGTCCACTGTCTTATTTTTAAATTAAGGCCCCCAGAAAGTCTAACATCTCAAACAATTTAACTTACCAGTAATAATAATGTGGGGCTGTCTCTTTTCTAAGACATCTTTGAGAGTTAACAAGATTAAGAGTACAAGAACAACCGAAATCACCTAATCCAGTTCTGTTTTCTTAAGGCTAAGCATACTGGAACTCAGAGGAGTACTTACCACAAGTGACATATACTAGTCTGTCGCTAGGATAGAAACCCAAGGCCTCCTCGCTTCTTTCTACTACACGGCTATATACCATCAGTCCACTTACAAAGCTGCCAAGTAAATAAACTCATGATTGCCAAAAGTATGTCTCAGTCATGCTACCTTTCACCCATACTTGTCCCCCTTCATAACCTCATTATAGTAAATTTTCTTCCTCCATTCAATAAATACTGGATACCTACTGTGTTCCAGGCTTTCTCTTAAGCATAGCAGTTTATATATAGAATGTCCCACATACAGCTTACAGTACAACAGTAGAGGTTTGGGGTACTAATATTATAAATACAAAGTGCTACGAAGGTAGATTCTTAAAATACTCCCAAAAAAGGGAGATGAGTAGTAAAAGGGTTACAGGCATGACCTGAAGGATAAGTATGATTCTGATAAGAGAACTGTGGCAGGAGTATCAGGCCTTCCAAGGTAGGAACAGCAAAAAAAAAAAAAAAAATCACGAAGTCCCCAAAGTAAGAGTGTACAGGACTTGTGTGAAGAACTGTATCCATTTAGCTGGATCGTAAACCACACTAGCAAATAAACTTAGAGAAGTAGGGGCCATACCAGTGAGAAGTCTCACATTCTATACTAAAATATCTGAATGTAATTCATAAGCCTGTGGATACACTGACCACTAAAGATTTCTGAGGAAAATAAAACTGGGACGGCATTTAAGATTAACTTAGAAGCAAAACATGACAAGAAGCAGGGAATCATTTAGGAAGTTAGAGCAATCCTGATGAGAGATACTGAGAACCTTAACCAAGGTAAAAGTGGGTATGGAAAGAAGATTAAAGCATTACAGAAGTAAAAAGAGTATGCCATGACAGCTGAATACATGTAGGAGGGGAAAGACAATTTGGTGCCTTTGATGGAAAAGAACTTAGGATGTACTGTTAACAGAAAACAGGCAAGCTAAACTAAAGGTTGAGCCAGATGTAACCCATTTAGAGATTATAATCTAAACCAAGGGGGAAATGTATTAATCTTACTTTATTTCAGAAAAGTAAACCTTCTCTTAGTAAAATAAACATAATAGACTATGATGTGCAAACTACAGTATGCAAAAAACCCAAATTAAAGCTGCATAATTTGAAAATTGGGTGCTTTTTATACTTATTGCATTTGTATAGACATAGGTACTAGAATAAATCATGTTTCTATTAAAATATACATACCAAGCTTCAGGATAAGATACTAGGAATGCACTGTATGTTAAAAGTAATATTTAACAACCACAGATGAAAATTATTTAATGAATCAGTTGCAAAATGCAGTTACTAAATATTAGCAGAAGAAAGTTACCACTGATCCATCATACATGTCACAAACTATCATTTGGTTCAGTTAAGTTTGGAATCATCAATTTCTTCTGATTAAATCAAATGCATGTGGTCTTTGCCTGTTTAACAGTGAACTACGCACAGGGTTTGTATTCTAAACATCTTGGAGCCCTAGTGCTCAGCATTTAGGAGGCCCCTAGAAGATCTTTGATAAAGGGAATAAATGGACAACAACAAAGGAATGTTTTTCAAGTATACAGCACTTTCGTAACTTGGCGAGTATTACACAACAGCACAGAACTAATGATCCAATATCTGAGTGCCTACTGTTCAATAGGTAATGGAATTACAAAATGAGTAACACATGACTCCTCCCTTCAACTTAGGATTTATTTCTCTGAACAAGCCAAACACCACAGGCTTCATCAGAAGACCCTGATTTACACTATTTGTATGACCATCAGTGAGTCTCTTAACTGCTTTAAGCTTCCAGTTTCTCATCTGAAAAACAGATGAGGATTCAATAGAAAGAAATGTGAGAGTGCTCTGTATCAGAAGTACAATGTATGCCAGTTGGCTCCCCACACAATTCAGCAAACTGATCAGGTACTTAATTAAGAATGACATTGAAAAAAAAAAAAGAATGACATTGAGGACTTCCCTGGTGGCACAGTGGTGAAGAATCAGCCTGCCAATGTAGGAGACACGGGTTCGAGCCCTGGTCCAGAAAGACCCCACATGCCGCGGGGCAACTATGCCCGTGCGCTACAACTACTGAGCCTGCGCTCTAGAGCCTGCGAGTCACAACTACTGAGCCCGCGTGCCACAACTACTGAAGCCTGCGGGCCTAGAGCCCGTGCTCCACAACAAGAGAAGCCACCGCAATGAGAAGCCTGCGCACCGCAACGAAGAGTAGCCCCCGCTCGCCGCAACTAGAGAAAACCCGTGCGCAGCAACGAAGACCCAACGCAGCCAAAATTTTAAAAATATAAATAAATTTTAAAATTAAAAAAAAAACCAAAAACGAGTAACACGGACACAAGCAAATCCAAGCATTCAACTGGCTCAACACAAGGCCATCATCCTACCGTGGCCTTGGAAAAACCCTCAAAACAAACAGTACATTGACCGTAAGTCAGAAATAGGATCTTATTATGAGGACAACACAATCTAGAGACAGATAATTTATAAATTTTCACTAGACAAATTTTTGAAAATTAAAAGTACATATTTTAATTATCTGAGTATTAGAAAATTCCTACTGTAATTCAAACACACAATACTATTAAAATTCAAACTTTAATATTTCTGAACAATGAAATAATAAAACTAGTTTATTGAATATAATGTCTCCTCCATCTCAAGACTTCCTCCATCTAAGACCATCTCAAATGAATGTAAAATCCTAGAGTTTCAAAACTAGAATTTTGAAATACACTAATAAACAAATCTGGGGGAAAACTAAAGCCCTTCCACTGATCAAATCCAGCTTCAAAATACACAACAATAAGCTCTCCAGAAGACATGCTATATATCTATAACACCGTTATTTTCTTATCCACCTAAGTTAATCTTTATAAGACAATTAAATGCATCATTTGAGCCAGCATTTCTTCACAGAATATGCCAATCAACACCACACTCTCATAGTAGGCAAGTCCAAAAAAACTAAAAATCTCCCCTCAAAATGGAAGATGCTATCAAGAATATTTCTGAGCTAAATATTGATGGCACCTAGTTCAACTAAATTATCTAAAAGCAGTGTACAACCATGAAAATTCATCACCATTTATTTGTACGTGAAATTTACACAGCAAGGACACCTTTACCGCGTGGACCTTAGATTTTTCTTGTGACGGTTTTATATATATCATCATCTAGTGCTCCTTATTTTATTCAGGAAAAAATAATAATAAAACACGGCATAAGTAATAAAAGATTTAAGATTATCTTCCAGAAAGGTGACTTTTAAAACTGTTCTTTCCCTGCTTGGACAACAAACATAAAATGTTCTTAAACTAGAACAGACTCAGCTGAAAGGAAATCCTTCAGCAACAGAGATTTTGGAAAGATTCTATATCCAAATTCTGCATTATTAAATGCTTTCTTACCTTCTGCTACATCATCATCTACTGCTCCTTTCACCTGAGAAAAACACCACTGAATATCATTCCCTCCTCCAGCTCCTGGAAAAAGAAAACATACCAATTAAAACTGAGTCCTACTCATGTTTACTCTCATAAACAGAGATGGCATCCATAGTTGGCATGATACTAACAGCCTGGTACTGCCCACACATACAACCACCACCCCACAGCACTAATTTGGAAAAAGGTTAGTCCCCAATAGTTGGTACTGCATTAAAAAAGAGAGAGAGATTCCAGGTCTGAAATACTTAAAGGCCATGTACTATCGTTACCACTGTACATCAGTTCAAAAGTTCCCTTCCATTTTCCCTTCCCCTCAAACACAGTAAAAGCCTTACTTCAAGCAAGACCTACCAGAAAAAAGTAAATACCGAAAGTTAAAGAGTTTTCCTTTAAGGCTACAAAAGGCGGCAGGAGAGTTAATAAGGTTAAGCTACCATAAAACACGGAACGAAGAGAAAACTTCAGGAACATTACTGCCTGGGTGAGGAGCGATGATTCATATGAACCCTATCACCACAGCGCACATACAGCAAACACATCACCACCCATTTCTTTGCAGTTCATTACCAGCAAATCACTGGCTCCAGAGAGGAAAAGAAACTGAATTGAATGTTGGTGAAGAGATTGCCAAAAGGAAGCTTGGTTTGCCTCCCTTCACCTAATCCGTCAGAATCCAAAGGACCTGGCAAAGAATTAATTTCGCTCATTTGTCATCATCTTGTGCAGAACAATTTTAATTTCACTTAATCATTCAACAAGGCCAAAAAGCAACTTATGCATAGCAAACCCTAAGTCAATCCAATATGTTAACTTTTTTACAGGTTTAATTATCTATCTAAATATTGATAAAAGCACGGAAAACTGGTTTAGTCCCTGAATGTTTCCATTTCACTGCCAAGCAGGGAGGGGGCAATGTCCTGGATCTATGGAGAAAGAAACTGAATCTAGATCTAGGACTGATTCTACTAGATGAAGGAAGATATTCAGCAACACCAAAATACACAAAAATAATCCTCGAAGCAATTACCTTTCTCTTCCTTCACCTCCATTCCTTGCTAAATATTCCAACCTGGTTTTCTCTCTGCATCTCCCCCCCTCCGCCCCAAGCTTTTACCTAAATCTCTCTCCTCTTGGCTATTTATATCTCTGAGCTCCACAACTATTTTAACTAACTCCATGAAACCCTTTTGGGAAAAGGACATCTGCACAAAAGCTAACATGCAAAACGGAAAGTTAAAATTACATTTTTCACGCAACTCGCTGTATTAGAGGCCTTGCACTCTTTGGACCTAAAGGGTAAAAAAAAACGAAAGGGAGATGGTTCCAAACAAAAAAAAAAATTCAGGCTTACAGTCTCAAAAATATACGTACCCACAGTGGAAAGAAATTCACGTTATGTCCCCATTGTATTTCAACTTATAAAGCACTCTTCCTTCTCAGTGCAAAATATATTTGTAGGAACACCCAAAAAGGCTTGCAGCAGAGAGAAACATAGGAACTAAAAGGAAGGAAGAGCCGCAGAAAAGCCCCCTGGGGGGGCGGGGGCGGAGGTTCCACCGGGCTCCCAAGCGCAGGGACGAATCGGCACTCGCCCCTACCCCGCCCCACCCACGCCTTACCCCTCAGCTCGCCGGCACACACCCCACCCCCACCCATGCCCAGGCTCCAGCCCTCCAGTTCAAAGCCATTTCGATACCACAGCGACCACTCGCCTCTCCAGAACCCGCCCCACCCCCACCCCAGCCCACTTGACCAATTCCCTGAAATCCCAGGGGTGCCCCGTGGCTCTCCAAGAGGCGCAAGCAGTCGCTAGGCGGTGATGGAGGGAGGAGGAAGGAAGCGGTGCCTTGTCAGTGGAGAGGGTGATTTCTCCTTTACCTGCCATGTTGCGCTGCAAATGGTGACCCTGCTGGGTTCCTCGGGGTCTCCGCTTCCTGAACTCACCCCCCTCACCTGGGGATGGGGGGGTAGAGAGGGCGGATGGCGGCGGATGGCACCTGTGGGGGGAGGGGGCGGGGGTCGGGGGAGAAGGAAGGAGGGGCTGGCAAACCAGCCGGCGGGATGGTGGATTTCACTCTTGGTCTTCCCCACTCTTGTTCTTTCTCCAGCGGCGGCGGCGGCGGCTACGACAGCGACGGCGGCGGCGGCAGCGGCAGGGCAGGCGACTCCACTTTCAAAATGGCGCCGGCTGGCCTGGCCAGTGACGTCACCAGGAGGGCGGAGCCGCAGGCCTGGGCCGGAGGGGCGGGGCGGGGCGAGGGCTGGAGCGAGGAGCGGAGGGGGAGGGGCGGGGAGCGGCCCGGCGGGCTCCTGGCCCCGCCCCTTCCCGCCTCGCCCCGCCCCTTCCCGCCTCGCCCCGCCTGCTGCGTCCCCTCCGGCCTGGCCCGCGCGCTCCCTGTCTCAGGCGGTTCCCCCTCTGCCCGCCCTGCCAGTCCCAGTCCGAGGTCCTGCTGCACATCGGCGCCCACACCGTCGCGCCAGTGCCTGGACTCTGGGGCCGGCTCAGTGGTCCAGTTAACGGGGTCGCTCGTAGAGATTGGTGGGGTCTTGTGTCTTTGCAGAGAATACCCGTACCGTATTGCTACTTAAAATAATGACACTGCGGGGCAGCCCCGCGGCCAGTGAAATACAGGGACGGTAGCGCTGACTCGTTGCTCAGCCAAGGTGAAAGTTCGCGGATCTGAGGAGGACGTAGCTGGGCTGGTGCCATCTGGGTGAATTAAATTACCTTCTCATGGGCCCTGGAACTGAGGCGAGAGCCCTTGGCAAAGGAAGGCAGTTAAGAATGGTTTCAAAAAAGAAAACTCAGTTTGCTAGCAGCAGAATATGCCCGAAAGGGTGGCCCAGGTCTGTCCGGCCAAAAGTGTAGAAATAGTAGTTAAGATAGGCTCTGAAGCCAGGATGCCAAATGCTGACTCCACGCACGAGATGAGGGTAACAATCCTACCTTATAGAATTGTTTCGAAGATTAAATGACTTAATTTGAGTACATGATAAACGTTAGCTGCAGTTATTATTAGATTTGTATTGAAAGCATCTTCAGTGGAGTTAAAGGGTATAAGGAAAAAAATAAACTGGAAACACCAGTCATCAGTCAAGAGGGGATGTGTACTTCTTTCAAAGACGCACTAAAGATGCAGTCACTATATACTGTACACTTTACATATCTCACTTAATCTCCACAATATTCCTGTAAGATAGAGAACCACAATTTCCACATGAAAACTGTGAAAACATCCAGGATTTAACCTTCAGGCAGAAAGGAGTGATAAGGCATTCAGAGATCAAGGAGAAGTTTATGATTATTTACACTTCCTCTCCATTATCTCCACTTTCTGCCTTATTCTGTTTTTTTTTTTGTTTGTTTTTTTTGTTTTTTTCTGGTACGCGGGCCTGTCACTGTTGTGGCCTCTCCCGTTGCGGAGCGCAGGCTCAGTGGCCATGGCTCACGGGCCCAGCTGCTCCGCAGCATGTGGGATCTTCCCGGACCGGGGCACAAACCCGCGTCCCCTGCATCGGCAGGCGGACTCTCAGCCACTGCGCCACCAGAGAAGCCCTCTGCCTTATTCTTGATCTGTGGAGCAGTTCGGTTTCAAAATTCCTCCACAGTGGAACAGCTGCGCCGTTGTATTATTATTCCTCCGTTTCTACGTTAATATTTTTCATCTAACCAATGAACAAACCAAAACTAAAAATCCACCCTGTATCTGTCATCTCTCAGCTACCTGAAAGATACAAAACTTTAATGCAGTGTGTGTGGTACTGACTTCTATTTTGGTTGATTTCGTAAATGTATTTCTCTGGATATGCCTTTATTCTTTGTTTTCCTTTTCATGTCTCTGTCCTTGTTCGATAGCTCAATCCTATGCTCTCTAAAAAACCTTAACCAGAAAAGAGAGAATAGATCATTAAACTAGAGGACTGGCACCCCTATACACAAGTCATTTTTCTTTTTTATGCTTCATTTTTTGCCATGTGTTAAGATTTGTGTCTTCACACTTCCTGAAAAATGATTTGGTCTACATAAATGATTTGTTCTTCTTAGGCGCCAAAGAGCTTGCCTAGAAACTGGGATAATTTTAACAAAAGTTCACATAGCACTGACTATGTGCTGTGTGCTGTTCTAAGAACATTACATAGAGTCTTGAAAGTACTACATGTCTGTGGAAGCTGAGATGAGCCTAATAAGCAAGGATCAGTGCCCTCTGGAGCCCTGGTATGAGTGACCTGGCACTTTTTGACCCTGGGCAGTCTTTTCGGTGGACCACAAACTCCCTCCCTTTTCTTTGAATGGCACTTAGGAAGAGAGGCCAGAAGACCCATTAGCCCAAAGACAAGAGTTGCTCTTGTTCATCTCTCTGTTCTTATCTTACATTCTATCTTCCATCCTCTGCACTATGGCTCTGTCCCTGCTACTTCACGGAAACAGTTTCTGTCAAGGTCATTAACGATCTTCAAGTTACCAAATGCAATGGTCACTTCCTTGGTTTTCTCTTTCTCTCCTTCCCCAAAGCATTTGAAGCTGCTGATCACCCCATGCTTAATGAGACCCTTTTTTTTCTTGACACATTATTGGTTCCCCCCAAACTTTCTAGGCACCCCTTTCAGCTTCCTTGCTGGCTCCTCCTCTCAGACCACCCTCTAAATATTAAGGCAATCCTGTCTCTCTGGGTCTTCTTCTCTAATTTCACACTCTTCTGGGCAACTTCATTCAGTATTTACAGATATTTACAGGTATAAATACCATGTATTTACCAGTGACTGCCAAATCTAGATCTCCAGCTCTGTTCTTGCCTTGGAACTGCAGATACACACCTCTACTTGCCTACGTGACATTTCTACAGATGTCCAATAAACATTTCAAACAAGGGACTTCCTTGGTGGCGCAGTGGTTAAGAATCCACCCTGCCAGTGCAGGAGATTAGGGTTCAAGCCCTGGTCCAGGAGGATCCCTTATGCTGCAGAGCAACTAAGCCCGTGTGCCACAACTTCTGAGCCTGTGCTCTAGAGCCCGTGAGCCACAGCTACTGCGCCTGCATGCCATAACTACTGAAGCCTGCGCACCTAGAGCCCGTACTCAGCAACAAAGAGAAGCCACCGCAATGAGAAGCCCGTGTACTGCAAGAAAGAGTAGCCCCCGCTCGCCGCAACTAGAGAAAGCCCGCGCACAGCAATGAAGACCCAACGCAGCCAGAATAAATAAATAAATTAATTAAATAAATTTATTTAAAAAAAAATTTCAAACAAGCACTGCCAGAATATAAGTCTGTGTCCCCTCAATACCTTGGCAGACACTGTCTCTTTCCTGGAACATCACCATCCACTCACCCCACCCCCACCCACATGCCCATCCCTCTTTCCTTCCTCAGCCAACGAAACGCTTTCTGATTATTTTAAAACCAATGTAGAGACTTCCCTCGTGGTCCAGCAGTTAAGACTCTGCGCTCCCACTGCTGGGGGCCTGGGTTCAATCCCTCGTCAGGGAACTAGATCCTGCATTTCACAACTAAGAGTCCACATGCCGCAACTAAAAGGATACCAAACGCCCACAACTAAATGATCCTGCGTGGGGACTTCCCTGGTGGTCCAGTGGTTAAGAATCCACCTTCCAACACAGGGGACGTGGGTTTGATCCCTGGTCAGGGAACTAAGATCCCACATGCCATGGGGCAACTGAGCCTGCACGCCACAACTAGAGAGTCCGAGTGCCACAACTAGAGAGAAGCCCGCACGCCGCAACGAAAGATCCCGCGTGCCGCAACTAAGACCCAGTGCAGCCAAAATAAATAAATAAATATTAAAAACAAACAAAAAAATGTAGATGTAACTATCTCTAGGAAGCCTTCCCTGATATTTTCCCCATTCCCTACCCACCTTAAGCTGTGTTAGATGCGCTTCCAAAATATTCTCATAAAATCTAATGCACTGGGGCTTCCCTGGTGGCACAGTGGCTAGGAATCCGCCTGCCAGTGCAGGGGACACGGGTTCGAGCCCTGGTCCGGGAAGATCCCACATGCTGCGGAGCAACTAAGTCCGTGCACCACAGCTACTGAGCCTGTGCTCTAGAGCCCACGGGCCACAACTACGGAAGCCCGTGTACCTAGAGCCCGTGCTCCGCAACGAAGAGTAGCCCCTGCTGGCCGCAACTAGAGAAAGCCGGTGTGTGGCAACAAAGACCCAATACAGCCAAAAATAACCAAATAAATTAAAAAATAATAAATTTATTTAAAAAAATCTAATGCACTTCTCTCTTACTAGATCATGTTAGAATTATCTAAATATGTGTCTGTTACTAGACTGAGTTCTGTGAGGGTAGGAAGTATGTCATATTCACCTCCATATCATAAGCCACATAATTTGTTGGATTGATGGCTGAGTGAATAAATCTCTCTGGCTTGGGAAGAAAACCACTGACATGTTGGCTCCTTATCACTTACCGTATCATAAGTGTTTTCCCTCACCCTTCTTAATCCTGGAAGAAAGAGACATTTTACAAATTATCTTGGCCACGCTGATCTATATTTGTTAGGCAATAGTTGGCTAAAGATGTAAGTTGCTTATACGCAGAGTCATCCACACTACTTCCAACTGGTCCTTTGTCCCCGAATACATATTATCTAAGAGAATCCCATAGGACACCATTCCCTCACCAACATGAACCACGTGCTATTATGCAAGCATTTTTCCATATGAGCCTGAGCCAGAACTTCAACAACTGACCACGTGTCAGATGCACAAAGTAATAGTTCCTAGCAGAGATGGGTTCAGCTTAGGCACACCAAGAGGAAAACTCCCTCTGGGTTTTCCTGATGACATCCTTCAGTCTGTAAGGCCTGGAGGTGTTTTGCTTCCAATCTGAGCTGAAAGGCACTAAAGGACACCCACAATCTCACCAGCAGAACGGAGTTAACGGGACTCACCCGTGGGTTTTTGCAAGAAGGCTTTTTAAAGAATGTTATATGATGAGAGGAGAATCACTTGAAAGTTGTTCTTTTCCTTGGAGTTAAGATGAACACAAACCTCCTCCACAGTAAGTAGAAGTGGCACTTAGATTCTCCTCTAGGCAGTTAGAACTTGGGGTGTCTAGGAAAAACCATCAACTCAAAGGTAAAAGGCGAGGTCCCTGGGACTTCCCTGGCAGTCCAGTGGCTAGGACTCTGCACTTCCTCTGCAGTGGGCACAGGTTCAATCCCTGGTCGGGGAACT